CTGATCTTTTTTTAATGAAAAGATCAGGAAAAAAGATAAAGAGCATGTAAAAATCACTATCACCCCAGGGTGACTGTGTGCAGGGTCTGCACTACCAATTCTAAGGAGCAACTTTGCAGTTGCCAAGTTATGAGGCAAATGAACTCATTAAAATAGTCCTGCCAAGTCACTAAACATGCAAACAAAAAAGAAGTTCCAGGGGCAAGCCCATCAATATCCAAAATTAAAACCATAAGTTACCTAAAATGTTAAGTTTTTAACAAAATAATTGTGAGACATGGGGGGAAAGCAGAAAGTTTCTATTCATAGACAAAAAAGATAGAAAGAAATTATCTGGAGGGTCCAGATAGCCAACTTAACAAAGAATTTAAAGCAGTCATTAAAAATATATTCGAAGAAGCAAAGGAAATCTTTTCATATTTAAAGATGAAAAGGAATGTATTGTGACAATGGCTTGTCAACTACAAAAAAAATAGATGGAAATTATTTTAAAAGACCCAGCTAGAAACTATAGAATTGAAAAGTAAAGTAACTGATTCAGTCACTAGACTCTTCATTAAGGACCTGCTGTGTACCAAGCACCCTAAAAGTGTGGTAGAACAGTAACAGAAACATAACCAAGCTTCCATGTTTATATTTGACATAGTACAGAAAGTCTTAGCCAGAAGGAATAAGAGAATAAGAAATAAAAGGAATAAAATTTAGCGCACACCTGTAATCTCAGTGATTCCGGAGGGCGAGGCAGGAGGATGGCAAGTTACAGACCAGCCTTGAAAAATTAGTGAGAATCTCAGAAAATTAGAAAGACCTTGTCTTAAAAAAAAAAAAAGGAGGAGGAGGAGGGCTGGGGATATAGCTCAGTGGTAAAGTATTCCTAGTTTCAATCCCTACTACCAAAATAAAAGGAATAGGGATTAGAAAAACAAATTATTATTATTATTATTATTATTCACAGCTTCTGTTATCATCTACACAGAAAATCTTTAAGAATCTTCAGAAAAGTTATTAGAATTAACAAGAGTTTAACAAGGAGCTGACTGACATTAGATCAAGATGTAAAGTTCAGTTGTTTTGGGGGGATGGAGGTGGCTACTGGGGATTGAACTCAGGGCTGAGATACATTCTCAGCCCTATTTTGTATTTTATTTAGAGACAAGGTCTCACTGAGTTGCTTAACATCTCACCATGAGGCTGGTTTTGAACTCGAAATCCTCCTGTCTCAGGCTCCTGAACCGCTGGGATTATAGGCATGAGCCACCATGCCTGGCTTAATTGTATTTTTATATAATGGGTTTAAGCAATTAGAAAATGTAAAGAAGTAAATGATACCAAATACAAAAACCACAAAAAAGCATAATGTACTTAGGGAAAATCCAGCAAAAGACAAGTAAAAACTTCATAGAGAAAAGTTGTAAAATTTTGTTAAATATTCTAATATGAAATCTTTATAGATAGGCATTCTCAATACGATCAAGATGTTATTCCTTCCCAGACTGAATAATATATTAATGCAACCCCCAATAGTGCCATTAGTACATTAATAATGTACTAATGTACTAATGGCACTATTAGGTAAATGAAACAAGTCAAATTTAAAACTTGCCTGGAAAGTAAAATCTAAGAATAGTCGAGATCTTCCTGAAGAATACCAAGATAAGAGAAATGTCCTTCCTAAATATGAATTTTTTTTAAAAAAACTCTGCTATCTAGACTATGTTATTCATGTAGTGCAATCTAAATGGGGCCTTGCAAGTAGATAGTAACCCCAGAAACAGATTCACACTGGCATGCTTACTGGAGGCCTCTACTTGTGCTGGACTTTACTATTTCAAAATGGTAAAATGGTTAGGGGATTCCAGGAAAGGGTGATCCGAATGGTGCAGTTGAGAATGGTAAGGAGGCTCAGAATAATAACTATTTACTAACAGTAAATAACTATTTACTAACTATTTACTAACAGTAATGGAAATGGTCATTTTAACAATTGTATTTTAATAAAAGATACAGAGCCATACAGTTATCCACTAGTTGCAGTCACCCATATACACTCGATATTTGAAAGAAGTGACTTTCAAGCATTGGAAAAGGATGCACCACTCAATAACAGGTGATAGAACATTACACACATGGTAAATACGTGTACATACAGATGATTGTACATATGGAAAAATGGAATTGAATCTTTAGTCCATACTATACTGAGAAATCATTTGTATATAGATCACAGTAGATTAAAAGTGAAAACTTTAAATACTTTTAGACTTCTGGAATAAAATTGTAGCAGAAAAGTCTGCAGTACAATAATGATTTGTGTACCTCTTCCATAGATTGGAGCTGTCACTGGGAAGAGGTTCCTCAGTTATGTACTAAATTTCTCACCCCCATTTGCTCTTACTTGGGTCCATGTGACCTGAATTCCGGCCAATGCAATGGGGACTGAAATGGTGTATATATGTACTTCTCAAACTAACCATGGTAATTGTTAGACCAGGACGCAAGAAAAGAGCACTGACTCCAATTAAAATCAAATTAAAGCAAGCTTATTATTTCGACCGGCCGGGCTGCCTCTCCCTCCCAAAATGGCGGGAACAAGACAGCACCCCAGCTTTCCTGCAGCCCAGCTTTATAGCCCAGAAGTTACACAAAGGGGGATTACAGATAACAGAACTCTGACAAGCATCACACTAATAGTAGTTTACATTTTTTGCTGGCCCCAACATCAGAATTTATGAGGACCATTAGAGCCTCAGAGAGGGTCGTTGTCTGGCCAGGGAAGGCCAGGATTTATGAGGCGTCACTAAAATTTCAGAGAGGGCTGCTATCTGGTCAGAGAGCCAGGCATGGGTGAGTTCAAGGCACGGGCAGGCATTCCAAGCAGGTTCAGAATTTGCAGTAATTTATAGTAAAGCCAAAATTATCTTTTCATGGCTTTGTGGTGAGATGGCTCCCAATTTTAAGAAAAGATCAGGTTGGGTCTATCAGTAATGTGCCATCCTTTCACCCATTCAATCACGGACTGCTACAATAAAATAAATTTCCAGAAAAAAAATGGAATTTAAATCATACCAAACTGGGCACACACCTGTAATCCCAGGTACTTGGGGGAGGTTAAAGCAGGAGGATGACAAGTTTGAGGCCAGCCTGAGCAACTCATTGTGATCCTGTCTGAAAAATAAAATATAAAAGAGGGGAGCATGCTGGTAGGATAGCTTAGTGGTAGAGCACCATCTCTGGGTTCAATCCTCTGTACTCACGCACACATAAGTCATACCAAATACAAACCCATTTTTTATTATTATATTCAACAGACATGATATTATTTTAGCCATTTATCATAAAAAGTTTACAGTCTATGGGCTGGGCTGTAGCTCAGTGGTAAAGCCTTGCCTTGCCTGTGTGAGGCACTGGGTTTGATCCTCAGCACCACATAAACATAAATAAAGATATGTGTGTTCATCTACAACTAAAGCAAAATTTAAATATTATTAAAAAAATTTTATAGTCTTGAGGCTGAGGATATGGCTCAAGTGGTAGCATGCCAGCCTAGCATGCGTGAGGCACTGGGTTCGATTCTCAGCACCACATAAAAATGAAAAAATAAAGATATTGATTGTGTCCACCTTAAAAAAAAAAAACCTAAAAAATAAATAATAAAAAAAAATTTACAGTCTCACTTTCTTTACTCTCCTGAGATGGAGAGGTAATAAACAGTTTGCAGACCAACAGGGATCAGCAGACCACCCTTTGGGCACCACTTCCAGGCCTGGCCCAGAAATATACAATGGATAAATGTATATTAACACATAGGAATACCAGGTGAAAAATGAATGAACTACAGCTATGAATAACAACACAAATGAATATTACAAATAAGAATTTTTTGGAAAGCAATTCAGAGATCTGGGTGTGGTGGTGCACAACTGTAATTCCAGCGACTTAGGAGGCAGAGACAGGAGGATGGCAAGTTTGAGGGCCAGCCTCAAGAAATTTAGGGAGGGAGACTTTGTTTCAAAAGGAAAAAAAATAGCAATTCAAAGAACATGTATTATAAATTGCAATACCCTTTTCGCAAGAACTATATTACTTAGAGATACATACACAGGTGATAAAATATATACAAAAGAATGAGAAACAAAGTAAAGGGTAGATGTTAATAAGGTGGGGCAAAGTAAGGTGAACTGGTTAGAGGAATTCAAAATTGATATGAGGGTGTTGATAATCTTCTGGTTCCTAAATAAGAAAGGTGCACAGAGATTTGTTTTACTATTATGCATATTTTATACACCACATAAGTTTTCTGTTTACATAAAATATTTAAAAAATCTAAAAGGAGTAATGATCAGGAACGTTAGTGAGTTGATCCTTCATCTACAGACAGTAAGTCCAGTGTTTTCTATGCTATTACGTCAGGATATTTCTAAGAATAACAGCATGACTTGCAATCAAAGAAATATTCTAAAGCACAAAATATTACTTTATAGCTAGCTCCTGGGAAAAGCTAAGAGGTATAGTGTACATAGAGAGTCAATTCAGTCAAACAATAAGTAGATACTCTAATTTGGTTCTAGATTGTGGCATGGTGTGTGTGTGTGTGTGTGTGTGTGTGTGTTTTGGAAGGGCTGTTTACAAGAAGGTATGAGATAGAGCTCCGGGTCTCAAGTGCTTGTAGACTACCAGGTTTATGAGAGCCACAAATTAAGCACAACATTAATTAAGTGTGCAGACTATAAAGGATCTCAACAATGAGAGGGAAAATGAATTGAGCCCATTTCCTTGTAAACGCTCTTCTTTAAATCCTCTTTCCAGGTGTAGTGGGGTTGAGCTTGTTGACTTTTGTCAATCCAGGATTACTTTAAAGAAGAGGGACAGACGGCCCCCTGACGTAGTTCTCAGCCAATAGGCCTTGATGCATGCGCAATAAGCACACCAACGCTACTATAGACCCGGATGAAGGCGGAGCTGAAGGTGCCGGATAGTGCGACACGGAGAGCGCGTGCGTCACGTCGCAGGGGGCGGGGTTTCATGACCCGGTTTCCGCAGCGCCCGCCGCAGGCTGGTGTGTCCGTGGTACGCGGGCTGTGTAGGCATGGGGACTCCTCCGGGCCTGCAGACCGATTGTGAGGCACTGCTCAGTCGCTTCCAGGAGACTGACAGCGTTCGCTTCGAGGACTTCACGGAACTTTGGAGGAACATGAAGTTCGGGACCATCTTCTGGTGGGTGTTTCTCCACTGAAAATTGCTTCCTTCCAGTTTGTAGCTCCGCACGTGGAAATGGTTAAGAGAGCAGTCCCCAAAGTGGTCTCCATCTCTCCTGGGCCTTCGTCTGTGTTCCACTTTCTTTGGGCGATTTCATAAGGCCTCGATTGCATCTTTTTTTTAAAATTTATTTTTTAGTTTTAGGTGGACACAATATCTTTATCTTATTTTTATGTGCCTTACGCATGCTAGGCGAGCACCCTACCACTTGAGCCACATCTCCAGCCCCTCGATTGCATCCTTTTGATGCCTCTTCTCGAATATACGTTTCTGGCTAGTCTGCTTCTAAATTCTTCAGCTGTACTGCCTCCACCCTGACCCAGGCCATTATCTTGACTTCCCCCAGTCTGGTTCTTCTAGAGCCCCATGTTTAAAAAACAGAACAGTCGCACGAGCAAGGATAAAATCCTGCATGATTGAATTCATTTTTCATGCAGCAACCAATAGTGTCTTTTTAAAGTGCAAAACTGATCACCTCACTTCCCTGCTCACCACCCTTCAGTGTTTGTTACTGGTTCTCTTTGGGATAAGATTCAAATTCTCTAACATGGCAGGCAGTTCTCGGTGACTGGCCTCTCTGCCTGTATCTCCAGCCTCCTCTTCCAGCCCCTTCCATACACTATCTTGTTCCAGCAATTGCCCTTGGCATTTTCTAAGCCTAGAGTTTACCCTCTACTTCCACTTGTTTTGTCCCCTTTATTCTTCACCCACTTTATGTCCAGATGCCAATTCCTTGGGGATATCTTTCTCCCTTCTATACTAAGCGGGTGTTCATGCTCCATCCCCTCTCCCCTGGTTATTTTATCTCACTGATTATCACATCTTATTGTGTAGATGAAGAGCCAGTATAGGATATGTTAAGAGTGCAGACAGACCATAGACCCCAGCTATGTGAATTTGAATGCCGAGTGCCCCAACTGGGATTTGGGATAAGTTATTTGCTTGAGCTTCCTTATTTGTAAAATAGAGGCAATAGTAGTCCTGAGGATTAAATGAGCTAAGAAATATCAAATGTTTCCAAGAGCTCATTAAAGTTCATTGCTATTACTTTTCAATTTTCCCTCCACTAGATTGAGCTTTGAGGACAGTGAATGGATAAGTTTCATGTTACCATTAGCACAGCACATATAATATTGAAAAGGCTAAATAATTGAATGAATGAAACCTATGACTAAACTGTGTCCTGCTGAGTAGAATATAGAAGTTCTCTTTTTTCTCTCTGTTGGTGTAAACTACCTGTGTAGTTTGTAAATTACAGGAGATGAAGGATGACACCCTATTTATTGTACACCTGATGAAAAGAGAACTAATTTTAAAAAATACTAAATGTAATTCATTTATAGCATAATTTACTTCATAGAACAACTCTGAAAGCAGATGTAATTATCCTTGTTTTATAGGTGAAGAAATTGAGGTTTAAGGAGGTTGAAGTAATTTCCTCCACATTGCAGTTAGAAGGTGGTAGAACAGATATTGAAACCTATATGTCTCCCCATTTCTTTCTTTGTTTTTGTTTTTGCAGTATTGGAGATCAAACCCAGGGCCTCTCACATGGTAGCCTCATACTACTGAGCTTTTTATTTTATTTTTAGAGCAAAGTCTCTGTAAGTTGCCCTCAAACTAGTCATCTTCTGCTGAAGCCTCACAAGTAACTTAGATTACATGTGTGCACTGTGTTTGCATTGCCTGGTTCTAAAATCAATGATTTTTCATATACTACTTTTGGGGGAAAAAGGCATTTCAGGGTAAGTTTTCTAGGGTTCCGTTCCCCCAATTTTTAGCTAATAGAGAAATATCTGAGGAGCCAGTCGATTCCGTGCCCTGTTTTTTTTTTTTAATATTTTTTTTAGTTGTAGATGGACACAATATTTTCATTTTTATTTGTTTTTATTTTTAATGTGGTGCCTGGGATTGAACCCAGGGCCTCATGTGTGTGAGGCAAGCACTGTACCACTGAGCTACAACCCCAGTCCCCTTCCCTACTTTTAAATCAGCTATAATATAGCCTCTGCTTACTGGCTGCATAGATAATTTTTGTTTTATGCTGCTGTTATAAAATGAAAATTTCTACATATCCTTATTTGCATTTTGTGTCAATTACTTGTGTCTATTAAATAATACACTTTGAGACATTTAGCTAAGGTATTAAAAATTAGACACTAATCTCCTCATTTCAGGGTTTATATAGAATCCATAATATGCTTAAAATATGCCTTCTTTCATTGCTTTATCCAAAGTTGTAAGAAGGATATTACATTAACTTTTGGCAAAGTAATGATCTTGCTGGCTTTAAAAAAAAAAATTTAAAAATTTTGGTTAACTTGGCACAATTTTGGATAGTGTATTAATTATGCCATGTAGGTGCATGGAAATGTATTTTCTGTGTTATTACATTGATTTCTAAGAGAGATGTATTCTCTGTTGGATGTTTGGACAAAGCTTTTGAGAGTTGATGAAATCTGCTCTTATATCCCTGCTCTTCTTTCCTATCATTGGCTTTGCAGTGCTCTGGAGAATGGTAGGGTGGGTTACACTGTATTGTTTCTCTTTTTCATGTAGGCTTCCCAAAGATAGTGGAGGTTAAATGCAAATCTCTGATGTATTAGATTGCACACAGTTTTTGGTTTTGTAACATGACCATTGTTTTAAATATTAGATGTTTTAAATGTTTCTCTAGTATTAATTTGAATCCCCTTCTTTGCTCTCCAATTTGGCAAGTAAAGTTGGTGCTTTTGGGAACTGTATTTTGTTTATGGTTGTGCCTCACAAGCGGAAAGTTAGCTCTTTGTGCTTGAGTCTTGAAAGGATTAGCCTTTGAATCTTCATCCAATTAGTCACAACTGTTGTTTAAATAAGTTTATACCTGTTTCTGGTTTTTGTTCATCTTTTATTTTCTTAATGAATCATAATATATTTTCTTTATGTTTTCTAGTGGTAAAATGAGAAATTTAGAAAAGAACACATTTACAAAGGAAGCTTTAGCTTTGGCTTGGCGATATTTTTTACCTCCATACACCTTTCAGATAAGAGTTGGTGCTTTGTATCTGCTATATGGATTATATAATACCCAGCTATGTCAGCCAAAACAAAAGGTAATACTTGGTAAGTTGTTTTTTTCACAGCAAAAATTTGACACAATGTTTTTATAATAAACTGACTTAAATAAAAATGGTAGTGTTTTAAAATTATAATACATTTATGAAAAAAGACTTAGATTTATTACAATTTTTTACTCTTTCTGATTGCAGATCAGAGTTGCCCTAAAGGATTGGGATGAAGTTTTAAAATTTCAGCAAGATTTGATAAATGCACAACATTTTGATGCAGCTTATATTTTTAGGAAGTTACGACTAGACAAAGCATTTCACTTTACAGCAATGCCTAAATTGGTATGTTGCCTAAAATAACTTTTGTTTTTTAAAAGAGAAGTTATACTTTACTGTCCATTAAGCACCTCACTTTCCATAAAGATGGAATGACTATTAATAATATTCAAAAGTTGTAGCCTACTTAAAAATAGAAGAAAATGTTTTCTGATTATGTTTTTTGCCTGCAAACAAAAGTTTTTGAATGTAGTATGTTTCTGAATGATATGTGTTAAGTAAATTGTTATAAAAGGAAATGAGATTGGGCATCTGAATTTGCTCATGTATTTCTTTATTCAAATGAGAGTTTACTGAAAGAGGACCAGGAAATTTTAATATGTAATTGATGAAAAGTTAAAACTTCCATTACAATCTGTTATTTCTTCAGTCTTGTGACAATTGAGAGACTAGGTTGAAGAGCACTGAAGAAGGATCTAATTCTGCTGTTAGCTGGCAAATCATGTAACTTCTCTGAATCTCATATGAATTTGTAAGCTGGTGGTATGATATCTACTGGAGTAATTGAAAAGTTTAGTAGTCTTTGGAAAATAGGTATTTAACAAATATACACATATAGTTGCTTTTGTTTTATTCATGCTTATTGATAGACAAGTTTTTATTGCTAGTTTATATTTGAATACTTTAAAAATATCCTTTAAAATGCATCCATTTTAAAAGACATTTCTTGTATAGCTTTCATATAGAATGAAGAAGAAAATTCAACGAGCTGAAGTTACAGAAGAATTTAAGGATCCAGATGATCGTGTAATGAAACTTATCACTTCTGATGTATTAGAGGTAAATTTGATTTTATATCCTTGAAATTAAAAAAAATGTTTTATTGCTGATTATACATTGAGGTTATATATAACTTCATCTACTGGATATTGACAAATTTTCTTTTAACCAATCATAGAATGCTCTTACTCTCTCTAAAGTATCAGAAATAGAACACCCTAAATGTATCAGGATTTGTAAATCTTGAAGCATAAGAAAGAGAAAGATGTAGAATACTGTTAGACTCAGGATCTGTGGATTCATATACTAAAACAACCATTTGTGTTTTTTGTTATATTGAAAAACAAGAATTTAAAGTAACTTTATCTCTGTCTATCTATTTATTTGTGTGCTGGGGATTGAACTCAGGGGCAATCAACTAAGTTACATCCCCACTCCTATTTTGTATTTTATTTAGACAGGGTCTTACTGAGTTGTTCAGCACCTCACTGCTGAGGCTGGCTTTGAACTTGCAATCCTCCTATCTCAGCTGGCTCTAATTTTTTTAACAACAGGAATTTATTTCCTAAATTCCTTTTTATAATATTTAAAAACCTATCATTAAAACAGGCTATTTTGACAAATATTTAAAATCAGGATTTATGGATATGCCTTATGGTTTTAAAGTAGTTTTATCATCTAATATATTTTGATATTTTATTAGAATTGTACACTATTTAAAAAAATCTCTTTTTGCACAGATGAATAATGGCACTCAGACTTTTTTTAAAAAAATATTTTTTTTAGTTGTAGATGGACACAATACCTTTATTTTACTTATTTATTTTTATGTGGTGCTGAGGCTTAAACCTAGTGCCTCATGTGCATGTGTGAGGCAGGCACTGTGCTACTGAGCCACAATCCCAGCCTCTCACAGACTTTTATATGAATAGAAAAGCATTGCCTGAGGTTAAAATAAAATTCCATTATAGAGTTGGTTATAGCCTTTTCTAATCAATGAATTTCAAAAGAACATATACAATGGAGATTGGAAGGGGAGACCTTGGTCATGGTTTTTAATCTCTTTGAGCCTTAGTTTCCCCTGAATTAATATAAGGATTACTATCTTTCCCTTTTCTTTTTTCCTATCTGTTTTTTTGAGACAAGGTCTGATTATATTGACTAGGCTGGCCTTGAAATCCTGGCTCAAGTGATTCTCCTGCCTCAGCCTCCTGAGTAGTTGGGACTACAGGCATACACCACCAGACCTGGCTAGGATTGCTCTCTTTATTTCTCCTCACTATGAGAACTGAGATAAGCTGATGGCTGAATACTTTGGCATATGGGATATAGACCCTTAATAAAGGATCTGTTTTTCCCTGTCTTATTTACTGTCTTCCTAAATCAGCAGTAAAAGAGGGGTCAGATTTTTGATTTACTTTGTTTGTCTGGATTCCCCGCAGAGCATCAGCCTGTCACATTACATCTATGATGTTTGTAAATGTTTACTAAATATCTGAAGTAATGGAGATAAGGTTCATATTCGTTTCTGAATCAATACAGTGCCTATTGGTTGGATAGTAGGACCTGATCTGAACTGGAACTGGGGAAAGAAATTCATCATTTTTAGCAAACATCTGATTATTTGAAGTAAGATTAAAAAAAACTAGGTTCCTTCCCTCTAGCAGCTTGGTGAGAAAGAAGTATGAGAAAATAAATGCAATAAAAGTACTTCAAGTAAGGCATGGTGATGCATACCTGTAATCCCAGTGACTTGGGTGGCTGAAGCAGGAGGATTGCAAGTTCAAGGCCAGCCTCAGCAACTTAGCAAGGCCTTAGGCAACTTAGTGAGACCCTATCTCAAAATAGAAAATAAAAAAGAGTTGGGGATATGGCTCAGTGGTTAAGCACCCTGGGTTAAATCCCTAATACTCTCCCAAAAAGTACTTTGCATAATTGATGGAATTTATATGTTCTCTTTTTGGTAGAGAGGCATCATTGAAAATTTTTAGAGATTAGATTTAGTGTCTGGACAGTGCTCTGTTGCAGATCCTGCTTATCTGAGGACTTACCACTAGCGAACAGTTTACAATTTCTTGAACAGCTAGCTGTCCATTCCACCAAAATCCACTAGAAATTAATTGAATTGAGTAGTTCTAAGTAGTCTTAATAGGCTGTTCAGATGTTAAAGTGTTAATTCTCTGCTGATCTTACAGCCAAGTTCCTGTGCCAGGATTTATATGGTGTCTTAAGTCTGGCTACAGTGTGCTATCTATCTCCCTATCCCATAGGCCTTTTAGGCTGGAAGTTTCTTAAAGCGGAAGATTTGATTAATAAATGATGTCTTACATGGTGACAGAAGTCACCCTTTATTTATTTCAGTTCTTATTACTCAAGTAATGATGAAACTTAAGGGAATGGGATGGAATTCTTTGAAGGGGTGGGCGAGTGTCAATACAGAGGAATTTCCAGCCAAGAATGAAGGACTGTGTATATGTTCTTGGTGTCACACTTATGATGTAAAATATCTTGGTTTTCTGGGTTGATATATAATGATATGTTGTTGTATTACAATAATTTTCATTATAAGTTAGAATATAATTCTTTGCTCCCCTAATTAGTCTTTTCCCAATGTTTCCTCATAACAATGTGCCTTGAGTTGAATTCAGTAAACCCATACCATTGGAAAACAGTCTCTTTGTTAATAATAAAGTTGTACTATTTTTCTTACATGATTATGTTATTTTCATAATACCTGTAGCTTATTGTTTCCTGTGAACTCACAGTCATTTTGTAAAGTGAGTGTGTTTTGCATTGGTTTTGCCTTTAAGATTGTCCTCAAGCTGGGCATGATGGTGCATTCGTATAATTCTAGTGACTTGGGAGGCTAAGGCAAGAGGATTACAAGTTTGAGGCCAGTTTCAGTATCTAAGTGAGGCCTTAAGCAACTGAGTAAAACCCTATCTCAAAATAAAAAATAAAAAGTTCTGGGGATGTGGCTTAGTGGTAAAGCCCCTCTGAGTTCAATCCTCAGTACCCACTCCCACCAAATAAATTGAAATAAAAAACTCATCTTTTTACTCTTAGGAAATGCTGAATGTTCATGATCATTATCAGAACATGAAACATATAATTTCAGCTGATAAGTCCAAGCCAGATAAAGCCCTCAGCTTGATAAAGGATGATTTTTTGGATAATATTAAAAACATAGTTTTGGAGCATCAGCAGTGGCATAAAGACAGAAAGGTAAGCAGTTGCATGTTTGATCACTTACCTACATTGTACATGAATATTTAGACATAGTGGTATGTTGAGAGGCAGCCTGGTTTAGTGGGTACTTTCCTGTATAGTGAAGATTTCTACTTAAGGTTTTGTCAGTCATTAGCCATGTGGCATCATTTGCCCTTACAAATGGAATATACAACACACAAACACACATGGACACATACATATATCTATAGGAATGAGTATTCTTGTTATACAATGACTTATAATCTTTGTAATTTGGGCTAGGGTTGTGGCTCAGCGGTAGTGGAAGGACCTGGGTTCAATCCTCAGCACCACATAAAAATAAATAAATAAAGTAAAGGTATTGTGTCCAACAACAACTAAAAAATAAATATAAAAAAAATTAATCTGTAATTTGGCATTTTTCTAGAGGTTACATACTGACAGCCTTTGGGCCAAATCTGACATATAGATATGTTTTGTTTAGCATAGTATTGATTTCAACATTGTTGTAAAATTTTGAATTAGTGACCAATATGTAAGTATTTGTAGACTTCACCTAAAATTCCAGAAAACCAACTTCACTTCTAAATCAGAATTTG